CAGATTAAACTTAAGAATCCCAGGCGTCCCCAAGTCAGCTGCTGCTGAAACTGATCAGCAGCTGATTCTAGGAAGCCGCCGGACCCGCGGCGCTTCCAGATCAGCGCTGCAGGTCCGGCCCGGGTCCTCCGCCGCTTTGCTCCCCATCTCCCTGGTCTGCTGGCTCCCGCAGCAGACCAGGGAGACGGGGAGCAGCTTTTCTCGCCCCGGAGGAGGCGGGACCAGGTGTCCCGCTGCTCGAATCCTCTGGGGCGAGAAAATCCCCATTCGTAACTGCGGATCCGACATAAGTCGGATCCGCCTAACTCGGGGACTACCTGTAATCATTCAGCTTTCACTCTGAGTGAAAGCAGGGCTGCTCTAGAAAAATATAGATTGATTATGCAGTTTAATGCCGGTCATAATGTATACACACTTACCCAATTATTTTTGGCCTTTTCCTCTGGCAAAGAATTCCATGGGTTGACTGTGAAGAAATATTTCATTTTGCTTAAAAAGAACTAGCACTGTAGAGCAGAGAAAAACAGGGAGAGTAAGATGAAAGGAGGCTCCCATTTCCTCTCCACTCTGCTCATCTGAAGGAATGGGTTTTGCCCACAAAACCTCATGATAGAGTGTGTGTGTGTGTGTGTGTATAAGTGTGTCTCTCTGAGGTTTCATTTTGTTTGTTTTAAATCTGCTGCTTACTAATTTCATTGCGTGACCCCCCTATTCTTTGTGTTGTGTGAAGAAGTAAATATCATTCCTTAGTCAATTTTCATATAATTCATGATTTTATAGAGCTCTATCATTTCCCCCTTTAATCATTTATTTTCCAAGATGAAAAGTTCCAGTGGTTTTAATCTCTCCTCTTCCATACCCATAATCATTTCTGTTCCTCTTCTCTGTACTTCTCCAAATACAATATACCTTGGATGACCAGATCTGCATGCAGTATTCAAGATGTGGGTGCACCATAGATTTATACAGAGGCCATATGACATTTACTGTCTTATCATACATCCCTTTCCTAAAGATGCCCAATAAGCCTGCCGACTGTTAATATACATTGAGTGGAGGTTTTCAAAGAACTATCCACAATGAAAGCAACATCTTTTCCTTGGTAACAGCTAATGAGGACCCCAATCATTTTGTATGTTTAGTTAAGATTATATTTTACCATGTGCAAAATATAATCTACATTGAATTTCATGAACCATTCATCTGCAGATTTTGTCACTTCACTCTTTTTTCCCTTTTCCTGGTCATTCATAATATGCTGAACACCATTGGTTAGAGTAGAGCTCCATGGAGAACTCTATTTACCTCTCTTCATTCTGAAAACTGAGTACTTATTTCTACTCCTTGTTTCCTTTCTTTTCACAGGGGTGTCTGGAAATGCTTTCTGGATCATCTAACAAACCTTAATTTAATGGTCTGACAGCACTTGATAGACTAACGAAACATGTAGATGGTATCATGAGCAGGGCTCGCCGAACTGTGGTGAGCCCTGCTCGCTAGCCGCGCTGTCAGGCGATCTGTGCATGCTCAGATCATTCTGCGCATGCACAGATCGCCTGAACCCGGCTCTTCCGGGTTGTAATCTACTCGCCACGGGCGAGTAGATTACACAGTTTGTTAAGCCCTGATCATGAGCATTTGTGGGCACAACCCACTTCTTCAGATGACTGAAGATGTGGGCTGTGTCCAAGAAAGTTCATGATACTATCTATATGTTTTGTTAGTCTATAAAGTCGTATCAGACCATTTATTGTTTTTTTCTGTACAGACTAACTTAGCTACCCCCTGAAGCTTCTTAATTGAATAGCCAACCCTTTGTCATCTGAATCACCCTGCTTGAGTTAAAAACAAACTCCCTAGCCCTTGGCAGCAACTCATTATTCCCCACGCAAGCTGTGCTGGTGGGGAGATGGTCTGCTCCACGAGCAGACCTCAGGTCCAAAACTCATGGGAGGAGAAGACCCTCAGTGTCCTCTACTGCCAATTATGCCCCTGTGTATAGTATCTGAGGATGAGTCTCCTAATGCAACTCTCTTAGCTGGGACTTTCTGGTCCACCAACAGTCATGGTCTGGCAAGATATTGCAGGACCATAGAGTCCCATTGCAGGGCCAACAATAAGGATTTCTGTTGGGTAGGGAGTCCAGTGTGTGGCTGCCCAGTGAAACTAGGAGTCCAGGTGAGTGTGGCGATGCTCAGTGGGTCCAGGTATGCATGTGGTTCCTCAAGGAGCTTTGGTGGGGCATGCAGCTGCCTGGACCCCAGTGCCAGGTTTCCGAGTGGAGTCACAGCAGCAATGGCTGCCCATCTGGTCGTCAGGGCAGTGGGACCAGTAGGAGGTGGGGAGCCAGCTGGGAGGCCAGAGGCTGGGCAGGAGTCCAAAAAAGACATCCCCTGGTCTGGTAAAATCCCTCATCTGGGACCAGTCAGGTCCTAAGGGTACTAGACCGGACCAGAGAGGTCCAAACTGTGGTATGGCCACTACATATAGCCTAGCCAAATGCACAAGTACATTATAACATCTGAAATGTCCACAAGTGGTTGCCTTAACACTGGAAAAGGAGCCACATGGGTTACCACAGCCAGAAAAAAGTACATAGCTATTTATGCATCCGATTATCATAACTGTCAGTTTTTCCTTCTTAGAAACAGGAAGAACTTGTAGTCGGCCACCAATTATTGAGAATGGAGACATAACTACTTTCTTGGAAAAACAATACACATCTGGCTCCTTCGTAGAATTCAAATGTCAAAAATTTTATGCAATGGAAGGACAGAATATATCTTTTTGTGACAATGGAAAATGGACAAAGGCACCAATTTGTTTAGGTAAAAATAAAAACTCTCTTTATCTTTGAGGGTTATTTAGAGATTCACTAAACAAAATTAATTACTCGTGTAAACTTCAATGTGCTAACCCTGGGGGATTACCAAGACAATTGCTTCTTTATTCTTGTTTTAGAGCCATGTGTTATCTCAGTGAAAGAAATGGAAAACCACACGGTAGAGCTGAATGAGAGAGCCAATGAGAACATACCGCAATGGGTGTATCTAAAACGTGGTGATTTTCTTGAGCTTCGCTGCCAGTCAGGATATTCACTTGCAACTAATTCATCTGAATCTACTTTTATGGTGCAGTGCAATGAAAATCCGATTGTCTATCCAGAATGCAGAGGTAGGTAGAGTTAGATTCTAATGGGTATCTGAGCTATCCCACTTTCTGTACAGGAGGGTACTCTATTGTGAGAGGAATAAGTGAATGTAAAGGAGCTGCTTCTTTGCTCTGGTTACTACAATGCTAGTAAAATGCTTTCAGAGAAAATTAGCATTACACTAATTAAACTTTAGGTGCTAAGAGACACTACAAAGCAGATTATCTCTGCTCTATTCTAACCCTCTGAGATAATTTAAAAACCAAGTGATATTTGTCAGACAACAATTTTTAAAATGTAAATGGGTTGCAATCTGTAACTAGGCATATCTAAGGCTATTTCAGAGGTTACTGAATATTTACAGAATGCATTCACAGAATATGTAACGGCAGTACTCAGAGGTCATCTTAGAAACACTGTTCAGAGCAGCTCAGACTTCTCTTGAGAGCACAAATTGGATTTATAAAGGGAAAACTGAGTTTGTATTTGGTGCTTGATTTGTCACTATTGGGTATGCTAGTACTGTCTAGTCAACTACAGAGTATAACAATTTGTCACTACAGAATAATACAAAGTCCTTTAAATTGCTACGGTACTAGCCCTGACAGAGTCAGTATATTAGAACTGGTTGAGAAATGGAGAAGCAATTTTGGAAATGTGTTGTTTTTTACCATTTTACAGGTTTTTTCCTTTTTTCACAAAATATATGCATTATATACAAAATATTGAAGATTATTTCTTCTTATCTGCCATACCAACATTTTTTCCCTGCTTTCTCCCCCCTCCCATTTTCATATTACTGCACAAAAAAAAAAAAAAAAAAATGGATTCCTAGGGTTTCCTTTCAATTTTTCCTTTTTCCCACTTTGCAAATTTTGAAAACTTTTCCAACTTTGGAATAGTTATAATGTAGAAAAGCGAAAGATGAAAAAGAAAAAGTGTTGGAAAAAGCCTTTGATATCATTCATTCTATTGTATTTAGTTGAAAATACGGGGGAATGCTTTTTCTCCTTTTTACTCTCAAAATTTTAAATATGCAAATCTTATGAAAGCGGTATAGGATTTTTGTTTAGAAATTTTCCAAACAACCAAATTGTTTTTTTTAAAGTATTTGGTTTAGAAAAAGGCCATTCCTCATAAGCAATTATGAGAATTATTTTGAATGATTTTTTAATTATTTTTTGACCAGCTTTAACATGTATATTGCTTAATTAAAAATCAGTTCATCCACATTCTATCTGGCAATTTCTTAAACAGCCATTACAGTAAACAGAGCAGGTTCCCTCCTATACAATTCCCACATGTGCTATTCTAACTTACAATAAGTACTGATGGATTGTACAGCCTACTAATCTATTTTCATTCGTAAAATATTTGTCTCATTCTTGTTAGAAATTGTATGTGACCTCCCCGGAGTGGTTAACGGTAGATTCAGACCTCAAAGGAACATGTATAGGGATGGTGATGTCATTATAATCATTTGTAATCATGGATTTCACAGTCATGTGGGGTGCAATATAGCTGAATGCACAAAGAATGGCTGGATTCCTCCACCAAGATGTAGCAGTAAGTGTATTTATATATTTATGCCAACTCAGTGTATTACACATATCAGATTGAAAATGTCCTTGCTAACCTAGTATTCTTCAAATTGTGTCCTTATGGGTGCTTCCTGCACTGCTGATCACAGAGCTTCGGTAGCAGTGACCATTAGTTGGCATGGATGCTGTTTCTTCTCGCACTCTGCCATGAGACTGGTCAGCACACAGGCTAACCTCATTCAGTTGCCTCTCCTTCTCTCCCGCTAGAGACGGTGTCATTCACAGTCCATTACAACCACTGCTTTCAGTTTGCATTTATAGAGTTAGCACTCCCAGTGCATTTGCTGCCTTTGTGAAGACCACATTCAACAACTCAGACCTTGATCGAATAAGGACAGAAAGCTCAGACAGAAGATGATCTTTGCAGAGCCAGTTTTCTGACTCTTTCCAGATCTGCCCCAGGAGTCACCTGCCATACATGTCTTCCCCACAGCTCTCAATACCTATAGGCCTAGGGGCAAAGAAACAAGCTCTGCCACCAAAGAGATTGGGAAGTCACCACAATGAACGCACAGATAGCCATAAGTGATCTCTCTCCCCTTCTTCAAGAATGTCCCTATTGCCGAAATGTATAGGGTGATGACTTAAGTGGTAATTTAAACGTTCTCCACAGAACATCATGTGGTCATCGTAAACTCCATCTCTGATGCCACGTTTGGCTCCACGGTACTGTCATCTGTAACTGAGACAACTCCCAAGTGCCAACTGACCATTGGAGACACTGCTTGGAAGCCACATGCAGTGAAACTTGCATAGGACACTGCTCAGAGAAGAAGATAATGATGATGTTACTCACACTGTGCACCAATGATGGTTCTTTAACATGTATGCTCCTTTGGATGCTTCATGACCAGGGCCAACCCTAGGGACAAATGAGCCTCCCCACTACTGTCCTTCCCATGCTTCTGGTGCACCATCTTTCCACTGTCAGCTCACCGCCTCAGCCCCCGTCTGCCCATCTGTTGCTTGTCTCCTTGCCGTCCACCTGCCTATCACTTGTGTCCTCCTGCCTGCCTGCCTGCTGCTTGCCTCCCTCTATTCTCCTTGTCATCCATCTGGCACACCCTCCCATCTGCCCAACTACATTTCTCTTCCTCGTTGTCCACCCATCCATCAGACTCTTCACCCCCTCCTACCTGCCTGACTGCCACTCACTTCCCCATTCACTTCTTCACCCTGCTTGCTCTCCTGCCTCCTCACCTGCATATTGGGTCATACATCAGTCGGGACACGGGACATACCAAGATGGTTCTGATTTTATCAAAGAACAGGGCTTCCCAAAATGCAGAGAGTGGGGAGATTTCCCTGATTCACCTATCCAAGGGACAGTTCTGTCCCCAGTCCTCCCTTCTCCCATCCAAGAAGTTCTTACCAATCACTCTGCAGGAAAGAAGACATTGCTTGCATGCTGACTAAACTTGTGTCAGGGCACAAGGAGAAATAGTGCATCTGAGTGGTATGGTTAAAAGAAACACACAGGATCTTTTTCAGGGGGATAAGGCAAACATGCCTCATTTATTGAAAATGTAACAAAGTAGCATATGAATTCACACACACACACACTGTCTCTCTCTCTCTATGCTGATGTGATAATAACCAGTCCGTTGCTCTGACCAGCCCATTGGCCAGATAGGTCGGGTGTGAGGGAGGAGCCGGGTCCTTGTCAGTCCAGACTGATGCTCCCTGGTTGTAGCAGGATGGAACCTGAAGATCCACACAAGTCACCCCATCCTTTATAGTATTTACTTTCCATGCAAGTCTCTGCATTTTGCCTTGTTAGTCACTTGGCATCACAATCAGACTTTCTGCGACATTATGTTTATCTGGAAGTTGTTATTGTAGGCATCTGATATCAATATGCTGATGACTGCTCCTCGGTGTTGTCTTCTGGAGAAAGTTGTTATTGGGTCCCTCTCAAGGGGTGCTTGCCACTAGCTTCAGGGCTTATCAATCTGCCTTGGTCCAATCTGCATCTTCAGTGTGCTTTAGCTTAGTTGATAACCATTTGGTGCTTCTCAGTCTCCGGCTCCTCCTCTGACCATCTGGGCATACAGTGGCCTTCACGCTTATCTCCCCTAAAACATTCTCTCTCTCATTTCCACAAACAACACATTTACACAAATGCAGCACAGAAAAAAGGATACTTCTAGCAACTTTAACAAAGTCACAAAGTTTTACACATTAAACTTCTTTCTATCTCTTATAAGGCTTTACCTAATACTAATATTGCTATACATTACAATGTTCCATCCCTTCACTTTCACATTGGAACAAGCTAGCATCAAACAGAGCTGGAGCTAAGTTAACAAAGCTGACTGGTCTGTCTTGTGCTTAAGTCTCTCAAAATGTAATATAAATTCATATTATAACATACATTCATTATAACTAACTATTACCTACAAGATTACAAGGCTATATTGTGGCCAAGTGGACACTGTCACTGACGTTTTCTGGCCAGCAGCTCAGGGAGGCAAGCATGCCTACAGAGAAACACCCAGTGGGACATGTATCTTCAAGAAATATTGTTGCTATACAATGAATTTATTTTTTAAAAGAATCAAAAATAGGTACTTAAAAAGGGCCAAAGGCCTTGTCGGTACTTGGGACTGACAGGTACATTTGTGTTGCTTTGCCTTAGACAAAATGGACTGGGTCTGAATTCAAGACCATATATATTTTGTTCAATAAGTTATGTTTCTTGTCTGTTAGCTGCTGAATTGGCAAATGCACTTGAATCAGTCTCTCCTGCAGGGAACATCTGAAACTGGGTATTTTACTCAGTCAGATGGCAGCTTATCAGGCAAGATGCAACAATTTCCAAAAATAAAAGATGGCCTTCGATCTTTGTAGCCTCAGTCAAACCCTTCCACAACAATGGCAGCTGCTCCAGACATTCCTCACTGCGTGATACATGAGATTTGTTTACTGAGTGCTAGGTAATAAAATGGGAAGACACTGATTTAACTGAAAATAATCTAGTTTGTAGCTAAGCCACTTTTTACAGAATAAAAAAAGTGACTTACAGCCTAACAATGCAAGTCATCTGCCCACCAAGGCTGACTTCCTGGACCCCTTCTTCAAACTACAGGTTGAACCACTCTCAAAATCAGGACTCTCTGATCCAGTAACATCTGTGGCCTGGCAAGACCATAGATGTTCCTGGACCAGAGATCCCAAGTGGCTGGGAATCCTGCAGCAGAGGGCCTGAACCTTTCTGGGACCAGGAGCTTGCAGAGTATGTAACAGTGGGGCCAGTGGCTGGCAGCCTAGCCAGATAGGCGGCTGCAAAGACAGTAGCCCTGCTGGGCAGGGAGCCTGGTTGGGGTGGTGGCAGTGAGGCTGGCGGCCGGCAGCCTGGCTGGACCAGCAGCAGTGGGGCTAGCAGACCTGCTGGAGCTGGGAGCCCAGCAGTCACTCCCTGCCCAGGCTGCACATGGTAACTGGCAGCAGAGAGGGGAAGTTCAGGCAGGGTCAGCCCGTCCATATAGGCGAACTAGGTGGTCGTCTAGGGTGTCAAATTAAATGGGGCGCCAAATGGTGGCGCAATATCAGTGAGGGGTTTGGAGGTGGGGGTGCCGATTGCATGGTTCACCTAGGGCGCCAGTTGTTGGCAGCTACTCTAGGGCCGCCCCTGAGTGCAGGAGGTAAATTGGCGAGTCAGTGATGGCTTCTGCATTGAGCTTTCTGATATACAGGGCAGATTGCTGCTACAGACGATTGGACCTACCCTTACCTGGTAAACTCCCTCATTTGGAACCCATCATGTTCCAAGGGTGCCAGACCAGTGAAATCTGAAGTGTATTCCCTTCTGCAACCCTCAGACATCCCTCTGCTCTCCATGCAGGTTGCTTCATTAACTGTTTCTCTGTGTGTAAAGATAGCAAGTCCTGATTTATAGAATCCATATATGATGAACAGAAATATGATAACCCGGATCATCAGACTGTTGTGTCTATTGTTGGATTAAATACATGATTTTACATGATTTTTTAAAATTTTCTGTTATTCTCTATATCTGACAGGTACTTAAGATAAATGAAAATAAGAAGCCTCAAACAGATATTTTAAAACAACATCTGGAGACCATTAAGGTGATTTCTAATATATACACACTATCTCCTGTTTTTCATCATAATGTGTGCTTGGATTCATCTTTATCAGTTCATATGCTTGTTTATGTCTATGATCAAAATATACACTACAAAAACAAATTTGAAGCAACATCAATCAGAAAAATAGCTTTTTGTAATTGTAAGGGCCTAAATCTTCACCTAACACTCAAACCAAACCAATACCTCTTCTTAAGTTTAAAATGAAACCATTTCCTCTGCACTGTCTGGGTTTCTCTCTTGACTGACAGAAACAGCAACATTTCCCACTTGGTCAAAACCAGAAACCATCAGACATTTGATCTTATGACATTTGTAAGTCAAAAAGTTTAGTTCAAGAAAATAGTTTTAGTTGTGTCATCCATTGCTATTGACCACTGATTGCTGTGTAAAGAAAATCCATTGTTCCCTGTGTTAAATAAAGTGAAAGAAATCTTAACGTTTTATGAATAGGTGGCAGCTATGAAGTGAATGTGCTTTGTGAAGAAATCCTCTATTCTTTACTCCCCTTTTGAAAGTCAATTAGTGCATGTCTACACAGCAGGTCTGAAGCCGAAATAAGCTATGTCAATTGAGTAGCTTAAGTCAAAATCGCTTATTTCGGCTTTTTTGCGCTGTCTACAGAGTAAGAAGTCCAAGTTTGAGCACTCTGCCTCTGACTTCCCTTACTTCTCGTAAAAGGAGGGCTACAGGAGTTGGAGTAAGAAGTCTTTCAGCCCAACATTATTTCAAAATCATGTTGAAATAATTGCTTGCAGTGTAGACACGGAAAATGTTATTTCAGAATAACATGAGTTATTCCAAAATAATGCTGCAGTGTAGATATAGCCCTAGAAATTAAATCAGTTCTGTCACTGAGGTGAATTCCCTGGAACCACCAGGTGGGAACAGAAAATGTGTGATCGCTGATACTTTGGTCAAAGTGCAGGTAAATTGTGTATATATCTCAAATAGGCCACAGAACATGGAAACATACATTCTGCAAAAATCAGAATAGATATATGCTTTATTCTAGTCATTAAACTTCCCATGTACATCTACTGCCATATTCTCTCACAGAGTATCCTCCTGTGAGGAATCATCCTGTCCCCCTTGCTGCAGATGCTCTCATCCTTCTACATCTTTCTATTCTCAGTGCATACATGTGAAAGTATTCACTAGGGAAACTATCACAGTACTTCTGTGTTTCCTAGGTTATGTATTATGGAAATCTTACCCTGGATATTGTATTCCTTTAATTTTTGTACCTATTTGTATTGTTTTCTGTTCATTTGCTGAAATAAATACATATTTTGAACCCATTGCTTTAGATTCTGTGTAGAAAGTCTCCACAGAGGTAGTCATCAAGCTGTTTTGCTGAAGACCAGTGATAGTAGGGCACACCTTGGCTCAGATTGTTTCTGATGGACTCCTCTGTGCAATGAGAACAGAAGTAAGATTCACAGGTGGTAGTAGGTTGGCCTTCATTGTTTCCTCTAATTTTTTCCATATGTGTAGAGTACATTTTATTACATTCACCAAAGCATGAGTGGATGTGCACCACCAGTGGAAACACATGTTTCTGCCTGTGGGTGCTGTGGGCACTTTGCCAAGCAGCTGAGCAGTATTTGAATCTCTCCCGGGGTGGCTGCCAAAGCACTCAGATGACCAGGAACGCTATTCTGTCCTATTCTGACTCCACTCAAAACCCCAAGGTAAGTTATCCCACAGATGAACATGATGGCAATTTTTCTTTCCTGGTGGAATGCAGAGGGGGGATTCTTTCAAAGCATGACTTACCACATTCAACTCTGCTTCATGCCAGGATTCAAAGTGTCCATTTGGCCAATGAACTCCTGATCAATGTTTGATAAACACTTGTATGTGCACAATCACTGCCCCCACCAGCAAAATGCTGTGTCTTGGGGGCTGGCTTCACTAGAGCTTTTTACCTCCATGTAATTGAGTGAGTGTAACTCAAGGGACATAATGCAAGTGTAAAAGGTGATTTGGCAGTTCCCATTTGTTTGTGTGTCTCTCTCCTCTCAGTTTCTCAAACCATACTCACCTGAGCAGCCGGGGAGGGGTGAGTGAGTACTGATGTGTTTTTTCTTTGCTTCTCTATAAAAACCATATTCTGCAAAGAAACAAAGGGAATCTGCAGATGGATTTTTCTGCCGCACTCTGAGAAGAATTTCCCCAGGAATATTCCAGGAATCTTAACCCAAACATTTTCACAACTTGCTGGCTATCCCTGCAGTTGAAAATGTTCCAGAAAACATTACTGATTAATAGAGCAGGGATAGGGAACCTTTTTTTGGGTCAGGGGCTGCTGGCCCACAGAAAAATCAATTGGGAAGTGAGACGCAAAACAAAACCAAACACCCCTCCCCCCAACTTTCTCAGGGGGGGGTTGGAACACCAGCATGGGCTTCTCAATGCTGGGGGGGGGGCGGGCCAGATCCAGACAAGCCAGGGGCTGCATCCGGCCACTGGGCCTTGGGTTCCCCACCTCTGTACTAGAGAATCAGAATAGATTATATATAAATCTAATGAATACTGTGATTTTGTTAATCTGAGGTCCTTTGTGGGAATGTGTATTAGTGACTGTAAAAGTTCTTTTATCTCTTTCATATCTGAGATGAGTACTTCTACCTGAGATTGAAGGTAAGATTCAAGGTGCTATGCAGCAAATATATATGCTTGACAATAGGGTATGTTATCAATGTTCACAAGGTCTGAGACTTATTAGGTCTCCAGTGGTGACATGTAAGGACGAAAAGTGGTCCCAATCAACAGTATGCAAAGGTATTTTACTTTCTTATTTCTAAAATAGCCTAGAAGAATGATATTGTTGGAATACAAACCTTGCAGTTTTACTCAGAAACATTTGTTTTCCTCTCTTTCTGTCTCCTTACAGTGCACTAATACAACATCGTTTACAAGCCAGAAAGCAAATCTGTCTCCAATCTGGGATGTTCTGTGGCAGTGGTAATATAGGTTTAATGAGAGCATCCTCCTTTTGGGTCAAATTCTGAACTTCTCATTCAAGCAAACCCTCCCTGGAGTCCAATGGGAGTTGGACCTGAACAAATTCTGAATAAAGGTTTAGGGCCAAATTTTGTCAGTTTTGCTAATGTAATAGTTAACATTGACTTTAATGAATGTAATCCAATTTCAGGACTCCAGGATTTGACCCAATGGTTGATTATTCTCAGTTTCTGATTTTTAGGGCCAGAATTTCACTACCAGTTGCAGATGAGCTAGATATTACACCTTTGGTAAAATTCCCATTCTACTGAATTCTGTTGCAGAACTTCCATATATAGAACCAAGACTTCACCTAATATCTTTTAGCTTCCAAGGGGGAGGCGGGATTAACAGTTTCAATACAATTACAGTGACAGTGCCACATGCACATAATGTAATTACATTTTTTCTTTTTCCAGTGCCACATACAGCAATCCAAGGTGAGATGAAGAAAATGGACATATGTCTGAAATAGCTCCAGGAAACAAAATTACATTTAGAAAGTAGAGATTTTGTTGAATTTGACTGTGAAAGAGGATATGAGAGGGATCCATTCAGAGTACAGTGTATGGAGGGGAAAATAGCATATCCTCAATGTAAGAAAAGAGATGAGGAATTTCCAATTAAACTACAAAACTGTTCAATTGTTTGATTGAAAGATGTTTTTTACTGAGGAAGTCTAGGGTTAAAAAAAATCACAGTGATAAAGCTTCAGTGGGGTAGCAGAGGGTATGTCTACACTACCCCGCTAGTTCGAACTAGCGGGGTAATGTATGCATACCGAACATGCAAATGAAGCCCGGGATATTTAAATCCCGGGCTTCATTTGCACGTTCGGTATGCATACATTACCCCGCTAGTTCGAACTAGCGGGGTAATGTATGCATACCGAACATGCAAATGAAGCCCGGGATATTTAAATCCCGGGCTTCATTTGCACGTTCGGTATGCATACATTACCCCGCTAGTTCGAACTAGCGGGGTAATGTATGCATACCGAACATGCAAATGAAGCCCGGGATATTTAAATCCCGGGCTTCATTTGCACGTTCGGTATGCATACATTACCCCGCTAGTTCGAACTAGCGGGGTAGTGTAGACATACCCAGAGTTAGTCTGTAACAGGAAAAACTTAAAAAACAGCAAATACTCTAGTACCACCTTAAAGATTAACAACACATGTGGATGGGACCACAGTGAATAGGTACCACCTAAACTGTATTGTAGTCTAGACTGTCTGTACTGCTGCATTTCACTTCCTTTTACTTTTGATCACAATATATATTTTAAACTAATTTTAAAGCAATCATAAAATAGTAGCAACATATGGGCAAAAAAGTTCATACTCTGATAACAGTACAGTTTTGTGATATTTGGAATAGGAAGCTATAAGGATAATTGTAACTGCTGTATTCTGGAATTACACACATCCAGTTTGCTGAAACAGAAAGCAGTTGTTTTATTCTCTGGCCTAAATGAGGCAAATCCTGGAAATCTTACTAGAAACCTTACTCCTGGGATACTTATAGCCTATTTAATTGCCATACCAAGAAGTCTGGGATATGGACTGAGATTTTTTTGAGTTCTGCCTGTCACTATTTGGTGTTGGTCATGGTGCTGCCAAATGTTTTAGTCCATGCAACAAAAAACACACACACAACAAAAAACTTGCAGACATTTAGCACAATTGTATGCAAAACATGACCTTCTTTGGTTAAAATTGTGTGTCTTAAACATTTTTCCTTTTTAAAAGTACAGATTTTTATATTTCATTTACAGTCTTTAAAAATGTGTTCTTGTAGGAGTTTTCATTAACATGGTGAAGTGGGAAAGATTTCTTGAAAAAAGGAGACAAATGAAGACTTGTAGCTAATTTGAATAGCAACATGAATAGCAGCCAAGCATGGATTGGACAGTGTGTGAATGAGGCTATGTCTTCATTGTTCATTTTTTGTGGAAGAGGAAATGCAAATGAAGCACTCATTTGCAAATCTCATGCTTTCATTTGCATACTCTCTTCCAATCCTTTTTTGCAAAAGAGGTTTTATGTGAAAAAAAAAAAAAACCCGCAGTCTAGATTAGGCCATTTTTCAGAAAAAAAACCCTTTTGCGCAAGATCCCTTATTCCTCAAAAAAAAATGAGGTTTACAGGATCTTGCACAAAAGGGTTTTTTTCTGAAAAATGGCCCTGTCTACACTGCGTTTCCTCTTCTGCAAAAAACAAAACAAAACAGTGTAGATATAGCCTAAGTGCACAATTCTTATCTTTGCCATATATTTCAAATTAGATGAGTGCTGTGACACTGATGAATTTATCAGAATCTACACAAGTGAGAATGACCGATTAATAAAGACAAAGTGAGCACTGATGGGGTGCTATATGTTGTGAATGAACTGACCTGTGGCAAACACAAATAAACATACCCCTACACTATGAAAGTTGAAAAAAACCTCACATCCATTTTTCCCAAAATTGTGTTAAGGCTGCAATTTTTCACATTGTTGAAACAATTGTTATTGACTCCCCTAGTGTGTTCCAGCATCCTACTTTAGGCACCAGCCTCCTTATTCAAAGGGTGGTAAGAGTCAGGCACATAAAGACATACCTGCATTTGAGCTTGGATGTATGATTCCAGCTTGCATAGACATATCTGCCCTAGCTGTGTTCAAGCTAGCAAGACATAGGCACTAGGTCAGCTTAGCTTCCTAGCCCTCTGCTTGTCAGCAACCCACTTAAGGGTAAACCCAAGCAACCACTAGTGCTTCTGCAGCGCACTGCTATTTTTAAGTGAAAGGTTTGGAAACATTAGTGTGGGCATATCCACATCAGCTGTGCATAACACCTCCCAGCTCAAGAGTAGATAGGATCACATGACTGGGAGGGACTTTGAGAGATCATGAATTCTAATCTCCTGCACTCAATGACAGGGCCATCCCTGACAGGTGTGTGTCTAACCTGCTCTTAAAAATCTCTGTGGGAGATACCATAGCACCCCTAGGCAATTTATTCCAGTGCTTAACCACCCTGACAATTAGGAAGTTTTCCTAATGTGTAAACTAAAATTCCCTAGCTGCAATTTAAGCCCATTGCTCCTTGTCCTGTCATCAGAGGTTAAAGAAAATAATTTTTCTCCCCTCCTCCTCGTGACTACATTTTAGGTACTTGAAAGCTAATATCATGTCCCCTCTCAGTCTTCTGTTTTCTAGACTAAACAAGCCCAATTCTTTCAGTCTTCCCTTAAAGAGCATGTTTTCTAGAACTGGAATAATGTTCTTTCCCTGGACTTTTTCTAATTTGCCCACAAGTTTCCTGAATTGTGATGCCTGGAACTGGACACAGTGCTCCTAATCAGCACAGAGTAGAACAGAATTACTTCTCATGTCCTGCTTACATTGCTCCAGCTAATACATCTCAAAATGATCTTTGCCCTTTTTTTTAAACAACAGTATTATATTGTTGACTCTTATTTAACTGGTGGTCCACTATGTCTCTCAGATTCCTTTCTGCAATACTCCTTCCTAGGCAGTCATTTCCCATTTTGTATGTGAGCAACTAATTGTTCCTTCCTAAGCAGAATGCTTTACATTTATCCCTATTGAATTTCATTCTATTTACTGCAGACTGTTCTCTGGTGTGTCTAGACCATTTTGGATTACAATCCTATCCTCCACAGTACTTGCAGTCCCCTCCCAATTTGGTATCATCCACAAACTTTATGTGTATTCTCCATGTAATTTTCTAAATCACTAATGAAAATATTCACCTGAATCAGACCCAGAACTGATTCCTGCAGAACCCCACTTGTTATGCCCTTCCAGCATAACTGTGAACCATTGATCACTACTCTTTGGGAACAGTTACCCAATCAGCTATGCATCCACATTAATGTAGCTCAGTCTAGGTTGTATTTCCCTAGTTTGTTAATGAAAAGATCATGCAAGACTATATGAAAAGTATTACTAAAGTCCAGATATACCACATCTACCACTTCCCCCATCCACAATGGTTGTTACCCCATCAAAGAAAGATATAAAGTTGGTTTAATTTGTTTCTTGACATACCCATGTTGACTATTACTTATCACTTTATTATCTTCTAGATGTTTGCAAATTGATATCTTGTTTATTTGCTCCATTATCTTTCCTGGTACAGAAGTTAAATTGACTAATCTGTAGTTCCCTGGTTTATTCTTATTTCTGTTTTTATAGATGAGCACTACAATTGCCCTTTTCCAGTCTTCTGGGATCTCTCATTTTCCATGACGTTTCAAAGATAATAGCTATGACTCCAATAGCTTCCCAGGCAATTCCTTGAGTATTCTATGATGCAATTCATCAGGCCCTGGTGTCGTGAAGACATCTAACTTGTTTAAGTAATTTTAACTTGTTCTTTCTCTAATATTACTCACTTTAGTTTGGCATTTTCTATTTGCTGGCAATGGAGTAGGATAATAGTGTTTATTGTAAAATGTAATTGAACTCTGAGTGATCTCAAATTTTTCTTGCTGATCCCTGGAAGTCTGAAATGCTTTTCAAACAAATCCTTCTGCTTAAACACTGTATATTACGTTCTCCGGGGAAAATCAATCAAACACAAGTATCCCAAGTGTGATGCACTTGCACTCTAAGTGCTCTACAATTTTCTGTAGGTGGCAGCATAAATGCACAACCAACCCCAACCATTTTCTAGTTCCTTCTCACGACCTGTGTATATGTGAGACAGAGCACCTGCAGTGTCTTTACACAGTTTGTAGATGTTTTTTCTCTAATTAACCATGATTTAATAGTTATATTTATTACTGTAATCAGATTTTCTCTTCGGTATCTACCTTGCATCCAGAGTGGAAAAAACAATCCTGGGCTCAGCCTACCTTGTACCTGTGAGATTCAAAGCACGGAGTGACTCTCTGGTAACTGACCAACTGGAGGCAACATTGCTGGCCTCTACGGGTCTGTCTGCACTGCAACACTATTCTGAAATACCTTAGTCCTTGTGTATCCTTGTGTGGGTGGTTTCAAGGATCCCACTCCTCACTGTGCCAACTGAAACCACTCATGTTCACTGGTTCAAAGTCACTCTATTGTTCTGATATTGTCACTCAGCTCCCCTGCCAATGACTGTAATATGACATGTTTTCACATAGCCCCAGAGTTGGTCCAGGAACTTACGTATTCTCATGTTCTGCCAATCCTGGTGTTTATAGATGACACTGAGGATTTTTATAATTTGGTTCCAAATCCAATATTAAGATATGTATTTTTCATTTTAGAATTTGATTTCTTGTTTTCTGACTTTAGTTTGTTCATAGAAAGTGTACAATGAAATACTGCCTCACGGTTTTATTTTTTATATCTGTATTATTGGAAAATATAGTGGAGCGAAACTGATTTACACCAGTTTGGTATCTGGTCCAGTAACTCTCCTAGGGTATGTCTACACTACCACTCTAGTTTGAACTAGGGTGGTTAATGTAGGCAACCGGAGTTGCAAATGAAGCCCGGGATTTGAATTTCCCGGGCTTCATTTGCATGTTGCCGGGCGCCGCCATTTTTAAATGTCCGCTAGTTCGGACTCCATGCCCGCGGCTACACGTGGCACAAACTAGGTAGTTCAGATTAGGATTCCTATTCCGAACTACCGGTACACCTCATTCCACCGTATCTCTGCCCATTGCCAATTAAACATGTTATTAATAATACAGGTAATTATTCCTAACAAGCTAAAGGAGCCAACATAAACAAAGACATGTTATTGGCAACTTTGTCTGCTGGAAATACAAGGCATCTACTGTGGGGGTGATATTGCCTTGAGTTGGCGCGGCCCTTGGGATCCTGCCTTATTTTCTAGGAATAAAGCAGACAGTGAAAAAAACCCTCACATGGATTCTTTAGGCACCAGTGAGGGCCTTATTGAAATGAGGCCCTTTTTGAATGTGGTTGCTAGGGTGACCAGGGTCATGGTAGCTACTGGGTCTGTAACTTCCCTGGCCTCAGATTTAGGATTTGAGTTCTCAGTTCTCAGCAAGATACCATGGACTGCCTCAATTTACCCCTACACCTCTTATTTTTGGTAATGGCACCATAACTTTTTTCTCACTGCCAGAACACATAAAAAGTTCAACAATAGACTGCAAACCCAAATATTTGCATGCAGTAGAGGGTACTCATATTGTTAGATGGGACACTGCCCTATGGACAGAGCCACCTGTTTTCTTTAAATATACAAATATTTATTCTATGACACTATATTTCAACAAGGTACAGAGCCTATTGGCAGATTCAGGGCTCTGCCAGGGTCAGCTGGGGTCATATATTCACTGCTGTGGTCTACAGTAGGTACCTTTCTAATGTGTCTTTGAGAATTTATCCCAATATATGTCTTTCAGATCTAGGTTCAAAGCTCTTTTGCAGTTGGTGGGAGCCTGTACTAAAAATCAGTCATAGAAAGCATGATCTATGAGCAGATGGAGAAATTCTGAATTGTAGGAAAAAGTCTCATTATCTTGGTGCAATCTCTCCTCCCCTCACATTCATTTATTTAAAAGAATGAACAGAAAATATACAAAGAGTTGCAAACAGTAGATTAATGCCACATTAAGCTTTTAATTGTACAAGTCTCAGGAAACACTTTGTCACTGCTACGGCACAGCAGCTCCCACCTTTTGCATTGAAAGTCCATGCCTGCACGTCCCCTAGTTTTTGATTTTGCCCCACATGCATTCAGAAGGCCAAGGCAGCAGTAGCACAACAACAGGGACATGTGGACCAAAAAGACTGTCAGCACCATTCCCCTACACTTCCAGTTTCATTAAATCCCCCTGCTTTGACTGGGAAACTGACTCTTTCGAAGGGTATTGCTGACCAGTGGAAATATTTTTACAATTGCTAGTAATTGTGGGAGCTGTGTTTTATGAGACTGGAGGGAGGAGATGGTTGTTCCATCTTCCAGTAATCTGTATGGTTCATACATATACCCTCTGATGTTAAATAAAATTGCAAGTGTCAAGCACTCAAAATTAAGGTTGCTATGCAATCTGAATTAATCTTCGTTGTGTGCATGAATTAGTTACATAGTTAGTCTTTTAGTTATATTATATGAATTCCTATGCTGTCACAATGCCTTAGTTCCCACTTTCATCCTACTTTGTACTTATAAGCCCCTTAGCCTCACTCTGCCAACCCTGCTCTTCCCCACTTTCTGGCTGCCAAATACCCCTTCCCTCCTTACTTCTATTCAGTATCTACTCTCTCCCATTAAATACCACTGCTCAATCCTCTTTATTCAGATCAGGCTGATTTTGACTTCTCCTTCCGTCCACCAGACAGTATATGAAACATAGTTTCTTTCCTCTTAGTTTTAATATATGCTACACTGACCTCTGACATCAGGACAGAGTTGTAAAACTCCTGCCCCCTAGCATGGAGATAGCCCAGAGAAGACAGAATCTTTGGTGATTAGTTGTCTGACTCAAACAAGTCTCCACTGAGCATGTTTGATTTTTTGAAGTATTATTAGGTTGTCATGGAGCCCCTCACTAAATCAATCAATCAATCAATCAATCAATCTCTCTCTCTCTCTCTCTCTCTCTCTCTCTGTGCAACTAGACCGGAGAGGATACTAGAAAGTGCAATATTGGGAATAACTTACATTACTATGGGTGGATTCTAGGGGATCATATATGTCTTTCCTTCATTCTAGCCTAGGAAAATGAACTTAAAATGTTTGCAAATAAACTGCCCTCCTTCCTATCCCCAAATCAAATACATTTCCCACAGAGACAAAAGGGCATGGAGAATCAGGTAGAGTTTGATAACTTAAAGTAAGTAAATGTGATGAGTATTATTAGACTTTAACTGTTGCTAGAAAGTTTCTCCAAAACGAGATATACCGGAATAAGCTCTTCCTCACTCTTTAATCAAAGTCCTGTGTGTCCTGTGAGTTCAATGTCTGATAAATAGCAAGCCTTGCACAATATCACAGGCAAATGTGATCTCAGCCCTGGGCTTCAATAGAGATTTCTGCCAGTTAATATGAGGTAAGTGACTAAAAAATAAAGTGTAATGTAAACATGGCCCAAATGTTGCTCCAAGCTCCTAGTTTGCTCAATAGATCAACCTGCATTCCATTTCCAGCACAGAGATAACCTTGGTGTTCTATTCATGGTTCCTGCCAGCCCAGTAGCCTCCTTTTGGTGCTGCCTTTGAAGAGGGAAGAGCACTGGTACTCACTGGTGGTCTCACCTTCAGAGAGGGGGTGACCTAGCAAATGGCTAATCAAAACTTGGGATGGGTCATAGAGTTGGGAAATGATGTGCAGGGAAACCTCTGTTTAAGGAGAGCACTGAGAAACAAACATGCAACTTGTACTGTATTCACGATGGACTTTACATCTGTTATCTGATGTTGCAAGAGAAGAGGTGGGGAGTGTAACAAGAGGGAGTAGAAAAGAAGGGCAGTCTTCATTTTTGGAGGACAGGATCGAGAAAACTCTGACAGGCATTACCAGTGCTGGGTGTATTTTGTCCACCACAAACATGACTTTGCTGAGATGTGTCATCGCTCAGATACTGTGGGCATTCTATGTTATGGGAGAAGGTAAGATACAAAATAAATTAAAGAACCCTCAGTCCCATTTTACTACATTAAAATAGTGATTCATGGAATATAGTTAATAGAGGTGTTAGTGGTAAAAGGAGGAGAGTGAATGAGAACACTGAGAGATGAGGATTAGTTATGAAGCCTTACTTCTGTGTTGTTCTAGAGACTATTCACATGTATCTACTGTCTAATAAAACATGGTTAAGTGAATACCCCAAAATAGTCCAGAATGATTCACAATGTAAAAGTATGTTCCTAGTTCTTTTTGTATGTCATTACAGTAATCTTGGTCACTGGTGAAGTTTACTAAGGCACTCAAATATCTGTTTCTCCAGAATCAGAGGGGTAGCTGTGTTAGTCTGAATCTGCAAAAGTGGTGAGCCTTTCGAAAGAGGCTTGCAGTCTAGACATAGCCTAAATGAATTATGAATTCAACAGAATTCATGTTTGTTTAGCAATTGTTTTATTTTCATCCCACTACAAGTGTAATGTTATCCTGATTGTAGAAATTATGGTATATAGGCCTGATACAAGGATACTATGGGGACCGATATTTTCAAAATACCTATAAATGGTGCATTGAGCTCTATAGAGAAGGGTACATTTATTCTTTGACATTAGACTTTCTGTGTCCTTTCCTATGACATCATACAACGCACTAGCCCAGAGGGGATGACTTTCTGGGAGACTGGGTTGTAAGCAGTTAATATTTTTGGTAAACTGAGGGGACCATTTGAACCATAACTTTTAATACCGCACAGGCTATTTTTGCTCAAATAATCCATGGTAACTAAATAATTCAGTAGTTCAACAACTTACCTTCTGGAAGATATGCAATTTTTCACACATGAACATCTAGATATCTGGATTCCATGTACACTAAAATCTGCATAGAATATGGGATGAGGTGCCCACACCCACAACTGATGCTGTGATCAGTTGTTTATAATTTCACTGTCTCAACTAATTGTTTGTATGGTAGCAGACATTAATTCCTCAGTAAGAATCAAGAGTTATGTAGAGCTTGATGTCATATCTCAATAAACAAAAACGATACAGCTCATAAAGAAAGTGAGCAGAGTGCTACTTAGCTTACGACAATCACTTTCTCATCCATGTGGGCTGTACATGTGGCAAAAAGTTGTCATAATAGCAGGCCTTACTCAAATCTTCTCTCTAGTACAATTTCTCATCCAAGCTGTTAATTGTGTCCCTTTGATAATCCTCTGAAACTGAAGTTTTAGCTCTTTTGTCTTGGCTACAGCTCATCATGGTTAACAAGTTCCCAGTGGACTAAAACTTTCCCGTTTTCTGTTTCCTCAGAAACTGTCTGATCTACAATAATTAGGATGCAAGTCAGCTCCTCAAATTGCTTTGCCATTACAGAATTACGTAAAATCACATATTATGCAGGAAATGAATTTCAATGGAGGTAGTATATTTCTAAATAAAGTCATTACATAATTCAAAATAAATTAGTAACAGCAAGAATAAAGAAATGTTACGACACACTGACATACGTATTCCTCGTTAGAAGAAAATCATTTACTTCTGTAAGAATATTTCTGAATAAAATAATAAAATAATTACATTAAATATTAATGACAAAGGAATAAAGTAGATGTACTTAAATTTGTGAGAGAGAATTATGCATATTTAGAAAAAATATTACATAGTTCTAGAAAAAGGTGATTAAGCTATTCCACAAAGTTCACAAAGGATTATTTTTTGACTATTTAGAAGTGCACTAACTCATGCAATGTATATTTTCTTCTAAAACTGTATAATTCTCTCTATATAGTAACAATTCTCCTTGATATGTCTATCGTTAACACTTTGTATATTTTGCTAATTACTATTTAAAAATGTACCAAATACCTAAAATATTTTTCTCTAAAAAGAAGACAAATGCATGGAGTTCATATTCAAAACTTCTGCCATTAAGACATGGTTCTGTTATTTAATCACTTTATTTAAAATACAGTAAATGCATAACAGAACATTATCCTCCAAAAATGTGTGATTTTTTAAATATATTTATTAAGAGTCATCCTTTTTTCCTCTGACATTAAGGCTTTATATTAAGTGCATGTAAAGGAGGTAGAGGCACCAGCCAAATTATGATGAGAAAAGAAATAGAATTTTTATTACTCATATTCATTTTTAGTCTTAGCATTGAGTCCAACTCTCTGCAAATAGCAGGACCAATCCCAACTACTGTAAATCCTCCCAAATGAGGCTTTGTCAAGCTAGGACTTAAAAACCTCTAGGGGTGGAAATTCCACCACCTCCGTAGGTAACCCATTTCAGTGCCTAACCACTCTCCTAGTGAAACAGTTTTTCCTAATGTCTAACCTAGACCCCCTTCCCCATTGTAACTTAATACCATTGCTCCTTTTCTGTCATCTGTCACCACTGAGAACAGCCTCTCTCCATCCGCTTTGGAAGCCCCCTTCAGGAAGTTGAAGGCTGCTATCAAATCCCGCCCCCCATTCTTCTCTTCTGACTAAATAAGCCCAAATCCTTCAGACTCTTCTTGTAGGACATGTGCTCCATCTCCCTCCCCAATGCATCCGCATCTCTTCTGTAATGAGGTCCCAGAATTGGACGCCGATCCATTCAGTGGCTTAGATGGGATCCGGACTGCAACACATAGCACTGCTGACCTCCATGTCCTCAGCCAACACTAGGTTGTCTCCCTCTGGACTATTTTCTGGATTCTTCTGGGATTCTACCTGGCTCCAGGGCTGGTTGTCAGGCTCTGTGGGGGCTGAAGGAGCTATCAGGCTGTCCATAGGTTCTGGGGGTGGCTCAGGCAGCAGTCCAGGATGCCCAGCCCATTGTTCCTGGCTCAATCTGGGTCCTGGGGGTATAAGATAGGCCTTAGGTGTCACCATGAGTTTCTGCAGCCTCCTGTAGTCATTGGGCTCCAGCAGTGGTCACGGCAGCCTGGAACAGTTCTCAGGGCACGGCAGTGGCCCCGGTGGCCCAACCCAGTCATCCTGCTGAGGATGGCGGGGCGAGGTTCTCTGTTACCGCTGTAGCTTTGACTGAGCCTCCTCTCTGCTTGGTTGCTGAGCTCCAGCTGAGCTCAGAGCTCCCTCTCTTATACTTCCGGTACATCCCTTCTGCTTCCTGTGGGCAGGGCTTGGGTGCTCTGGCACTGCCAACCAAGGGGTATTTGGGCAACTTCCTCTTCCAGGTCATCAAGAGGCCACGCTCCATCACTACAGACTTATAAATGCCTGATACGGAAATTTGCTTTGTTTATGTTTCTCCAGCACTGAAGTTGCAAGCATGAATCGGCACCAGAGACAAAAGCTGCATTGTCTATTTTTCCTCTCTCTTTTTGTTGTATTTTGTCTTGAAGCAGGATCAAAATTTAACAGTAGCAACTCCAACCTATCTGAACTAACTTCTCTTTTCTCCATAAAGAAGAATTGCCACCATCTTTAATACTGTCTAAAAATGGAAATAGGGGTATTCTTATAAAACTTTGCTACTGAAAAAGGGGTAGGACGCAAGCAATGTTGTTTAAAATAAAAAGCCTTATTTTGTTCTTTACATTTTAAATGCTTTACTTGGATTTTCTTCTTTTCACATCTTTAAATGTTAACATGACTTAAATGATTTGTTTGCCATGGGCTCTCTTATTTCATCCAGTCAAACACACCGGGGATGCAGTGCGGAAGAGATTAGACAAATCCAGTACGGTCACTTTTAGGTCACTGGGAGTTTCCACAGTAATCAGAACGATGCTTAAAACAACAGCTGCTCCATTCTGAAACCCAAAATAAAATAAACTACCTCAAGCAAATATTCACATCACTAAAGATGGCAGAAGAGCTGTAGACTTTTAGTCCATAGGAATTTTTCTGGGTCAATTTTATGAAGATGAAGTTCATAAATGACATAGCTACAGAGTGGACCTCCCTGGTCCAGCACCCTTGGGATCTGATTGGTCCCAGATGAGGGATTTTGCTGGACCAAGAAAGGTCATTTCTGGGGCCCTCCTGCCAGCCATAGCTCCGTTGCCAGTTTCCCAGCTGGTTTCTCCCTGCTGCTGGCCCCTTAGCTCAGGGTTCTCAGCCCTCCATGATAGCTCCACCATTTCAAACACAGCACCACTTCCAGGCTCCCAGCTGCACAGTGGGTGGCAGACCTGCTAGGGTTTCAGCCTCACTGAGCAGCCCTGTGTTGGGATGTTGCTGGACCAGAGACGTTCAACCTGTAGTTAAGCTAGTAAACAAGTTAGGGTACATCTACACTGCAGCATAATTTCTAAAGAAGCTATTTCAGAAAAATAACTCCCAAAATAGCTATTTAGAAATAGGGTTTATTCCTCATGAAGGCTATGTCTAGACTGCAAGCCTCTTTCGAAAGAGAGCGTCTAGACTGCATGCGGAACTTTCGAAAAAGCAAGCCGCTTTTTTTGAAAGAAAGCACCCAGTGAGTCTGGATGCTCTCTTTCTAAAAAGCCTGTTTGCTTTCAAGAATGCCTTCTTTCGAAAGAGCACTTTCAAAAGAAGGCGTTCTTCCTCGTGGAATTAGGTTTACCACCGTCGAAAGAAAAACCGCATTCTTTCAATTTAATTTCGAAAGAACGCGGCTGCAGTCTAGACGTAGGTGAAGTTTTTTCGAAAAAAGGCTACTTTTTTCAAAAAAAACCCTGAGTCTGGACACAGCCGAAATGAGGATTTATTAGTCTGGAATGAGAACCCCTTTATTTTGAAATTATTTTGAAATAATGGGCTTATATAGTTGTTTACTTTGTTATTTCAAAATAACACTAGAATGTAGACTTGCCCTAAGATTCAAATAATCTTAACTGAAGGGGAGATTTACAGCATAATGGCCTATTTTCCAGTTGTAAACTTGTTTGCCTGTTTCTGTTTAGAAATTAGATGTGATCCTCCAACAGTGACTAATGGAACCTACCACCATCAAAGGATTAGATAAAGCACCTGTGAAAATAAGATGTAGAGTAGCATTTTACT